GCAGCCGCCAGGCCTGGAGCCCCGGCCCCGGCGCCATCCTGTGCTCGAGGCACTTCGTCGAAGACGACTTCGAGCGCTACGGGCTGCGGCGGAAGCTGCGCCGGGGGGCCGCGCCCTCGCGCTTCCCCCCGCGCCCGGTGCGTGCCCGCCGCCCCCGGGGGAGGGGGGGTGTCCGTCCGTCCGTGTGGCTGTCCTCAATCTGGGCTTCCCCTGGCCCGAGGGATTTAAATCACTAAGCGCCTGTGCTTCCTTGTCTAGGATGCGCTGAGGCCACGCTGCGGGCGCGGGCTGTCCCCACGAGCCCTCAAGCAGCCACTCCTGATCCCCTCCGACGACGAGGTCGTTGCCGAGGATCACAACTACAGCCTGAAGGAGGCAGCAGCGGCTGCAGGAAGGACAGGAGGCAGCAGCAGGGCCCGTGGAGCAGCAGCGCGTGGCAGCGAGGAGGAGCCCCATGCCGTGGCCCAGAAACATCTTCAGTGTCATCAGGGAGATGGCGGAGAAGAAGCGGTTGTCTGAGGAAGGTGCGAGTTTGCTGCAGGCACAGTTTTCAGGTACTTCTCGGGGTTTTTGAGTCAGAGCTGAGCTTCAGGGTAGATACTGCCTCATTCCAGTTTAATGAACTATAGATAGCAGGGTAAACACCAACTGTTAGATTTCATGGGGCAATAACATATGCTTTAACTGCAATTTGTGCTGCAATATTTTTGCGTTATTTATCCTTTTGTTAAGTTAGCAGCTGTTTAGTTGCTTTGCTAAAGCTGACCTTTTACTTTTTTGAAAGCAGATTTGCCCCGTGAGCCACAGAACTGGAGGCACATGACAGAATACTCGCTGGAAATGAAACAATTTGCTTGCATTCTCCACCTCTACCACAATAAGGCCTATGACTACCTACGGAAGATTTTCCCCCTGCCTCATCCTTCCAGCCTGACAAAGCAAGTTCATTTTCTTTCATTTGGATGGGTTTCTATTTACTTATGTAGAAATTGGGGGAACAGAAGTCTGTCGTGAAAATACTCCAGTAGACCTCTGAGAGGGAAGGAATGGGCCAAATACTGGAAAAAAGGAGCAAAAACAAGTAGGGTATTTTTTGTAAGAGAAGCAGATGGTGTTAAAGGAGCAATTCATTTAACACCACTCCCCTCATCAGTTAGAACACACTGGAGAGAGGATGGAGACATGGGGCAAGCATCAGCACAAAGAAGTCAAAACCACTAGGACCATACAGAGTGGAAACATTGGAACTGTTAGCTGGGAAAAAGAAGAGATTAGAAAACTTATTCTCTGAATCTTAGCTCCTAAGAACATCCTTCCTCCTTTTCCAGCTGGCTGTCTAATAGCGGTGCCGCTCCAGGCTTCAGCAGCGACATTTTTATTCGCCTCCAGGAAAAAGCAGAGAAGGGGGACCAGCCCTACCGTTACTGTGCCCTGCTGGTGCAGGACATGGCCCTCCAGAGGCAGCAGCAATGGGATGCCCAGAGCCAGTGTCTTGCGGGCTTTGTTGACGTAGGGGCGGGTGTCCTGGACGCCGACGAAGCCCCGCTGGCCTCGGACGTGATAATCCTCATGGCGGTCGGCATCATGAGTCCCTGGAGGGCTCCTCTTGGCTACTTCTTTGTGCACAGCGTGAGCGGCCACCTCCTTGCCCAGCTGCTCCGACAGGCCATCAGTAAGCTGAACAACATCGGTGTGGCGGTGCTGTCTGTGACAGCGGGTGCCACCGCACGCGGGGCTGAGACAGCCAGGGCTCTGGGCATCCACATTGACCCTGAGAGGCTCCAGTGCACTTTCCAGCACCCGCCTGGCTCTGCTCACTACATCACCTACTTCTTTGACATGTGCCATGTGCTGCAGCTGATCAGGAACGCGCTGCAGTGCTTCCAGAAGATCCAATGGCCTGGAGAAGCAGCAAAGTGGCAGTATGTGGTGGAGCTTGCAGCCCTGCAAGAGAAAAGAGTGTTAGAGCTGTGCAATTCCAATTCAGGCTGTCCTGGAAATGATCAATGTTGCTATTTGAAAGTCAACCTCGCTACTCAGCTGTTCAGTGAGGGTGTTGCCGATGCCCTGGAGCATCTCCAGAATCTGGGCCTGGCCTCATTCCAGAACTGCAGCGGTACTGTCAAGTTTGTGCGTTTGATGAGCCATCTGTGCGATGTATTCCAGGGCAGAAGCTCCTCTGCCAGAGGAAGAAAAGGGCCTTTGCTCGTTGGAAATTACAGCAAAATCAGGCGTCTCTTCAGTGAGGCCAGGAGCTTTTTGCTCACCTTAACAGACTCCATGGGTAGGTGTGCTGTAAAAAGCAAACGCAAATTGGGATTTCTGAGTTTGTTGCTCAACACCGAAAGCCTCACATGGCTTTACACCAATTACATGCTGCCGGAAGGGCTGCCTTTGCACTGCCTCCTGCCGCACGCCTTCAGCCTCGAGCAGCTTGAGCTGTTTCTCCGTGCTCTCCGGCAGGCTTGCCCTGGCCACGGCCATCCCACTTGTGCTGCATTCCAGGCAGCTTACGGCAAGCTGCTGGCCAGCTGCAGCTTGGCACCGGGACCACACAGCAGGGGCTTTGGAGACGCGAACCCCTTGGATTTATCCACCTTCTGTGGGACAGACCTAACCCTGCGCAAGGTCCGTTCTCAGTACGATCCCGCTCCTGGGGGGACTGTGGCAATGGAGGATTCCTTCAGTGCCGGCCTCTTCGTGTGCGACTCAGTCCTGAGCGATGCCCTGACAGACCCATCCCTACATGAGCAGAGTGTCGCCCGCGCCGCGGGAGTTGTGGCTGAACGAGCGGCCTCTGATCTGCAATGCGATGCTTGTGTTGCTTCTCTTTTTGAGTCAGAGGCGAGCACGCTAAGGAGTGGGGCAGTGCTCTACATAAAAAAGTCAGGTGGGGTGAGCCTGCCCTCTGCAAGTGTGCACCACATCACGAGTGTTTCTGAACGAGTCCTGAGGACGTACGCCCTAGGGCGAGGTAGCCGCAAGAACTCCGAGCTCTGGAATTTGTTTATCCAACAGAAAATTTTCTGTGAGCTTCTGGGACAGAGGCCTCTCTTTCCCACACTCACTGACCATTTCTTTGACAGGCAGTCAAGTCTCGACAATCACTACGTGATCTTGGTAAAGAAAATAAGTCAATGTTACTTACATGTCAGAAGAAACTGTGCCCAAAACTTAAACTTGAAATATCCTTGGGGAAAGCCCCGATGGAAGAGACTAAAGGGAAAACATTCATTTGCATCACCGTTGTATCGGTGCCAGTCAAGCCCAAACTGGATAGGGCCGTGACAACTCATACATCACAGATAGATGAGGGTTGCCCCTATTTAGCCTTGGTTACGGCCAGATCCAGGTAACGCTTAATAAGGCAAAGACTACGGTGCCATAATTTGCCTGGCAAAACTTGTTCTGT